GAGAGTTTTGAGGAGTTCAAGAGATCTAAGAAAAAACAGGTGGTATGCAAATTGGATTTGGAAAAGGCTTACGACATGGTGGATTGGTCTTTCCTGATGGAGGTGATGGTCAATTTTTGGTTCAAAGACAGGTGGTGTAAGTGGGTGATGGGTTGTATCAAAAAATGCCATTACTCCATATTGGTAAATGGGACAGTGGTAGATTTCTTTCCAGCTTTAAGAGGGATAAGACAAGGAGATCCCCTTTCCCCTTCTTTATTCACGATGGTTGCAGAAGTTTTGGGGAGACTAATTTCTAGAGCAGACTCCAAGGACTTAATAAGATGTTGGAGAGTTGGAAGGGAGAATATGCCACTTACACATTTGCAATTTGCAGATGACACAATACTCTTTTGTGAAGGAGGGGACCTTAATAGGATAAGAAACCTGAAGCTCACTATACAACTCTTTGAGCAAATGTCAAACTTAAGGTGAATTTTGAGAAGAGTTGTTTAGTTGGGGTCAATATGGGGGAGGGGGAGACATCGGAGTGTGCAAACATTTTGGAGTGCGCAGTTTCTAATTGGCCTTTGAACTACCTTGGTTTGCCATTGGGAGATAACCCTCAGAAAGATGAGTTTTGGGTTCCGGTTGTGGAGAGGTTTGAAAAGAAACTAGCAACTTGAAAGAAGAATTATTTGTCTCTTGGTGGGAGAATCACTTTAATTAGGTCTACATTAGCTAACCTTCCTGTCTACTTTTTATCGATCTTTAAGATTCCAGTTAAGGTGGCTAGCAGATTAGAAAAACAAATGAGAGATTTTCTCTAGGAGCCGAGGGAGGAGAAGAAGGACCATAAGGTTAGGTAGGAGATGGTTTGTAGGAGCAAGAGGGAGGGAGGATTAGGTATTGGGAATATAAGGAATAGGAATTTGGCACTACTAGGGAAATGGCTGTGGAGATTTTCTTTGGATAAGGATAAACTATGGGTGAAGATAGTGGGCAGTATTCATGGGGTAGTAGACAAGGGATGGGATTCTGGGGTTCCAGCAAGGACTACAAGAGCAGCACCATGGAAAGCTATTCAAGCTATTTTGCCATTGTTCTCTCCATGGATCAGGTATGAAGGCAATCTCATCAATTTTTGGGAACATATCTGGATTGGGGATTCTCCCTTAAAAGACCAATTCCCGAGTCTTTTCACTCTTTCCACTTTTAAATATGAACCAATTTCCTCCTTCCTTGTTCCTTCTAACTCAACTTCTAGGTTCAGTTGGAACTTGGGCTTTAGAAGGGAAATCAGGGACACAGAGTTTGATTGTATTTTATTCTTGTTATCCATTCTTGAAAGGGTCTTCTTAGAGCCAACAAAGGCAGACAGTAGAATTTGGACACTTACCCCCTCGGGTTCTTTCACATGTGCTTCTTTCTTTAAAGCCCCAACACAATCTTCTTCTTTGGGTTTGTCCTTCCCTGTTAAAGAGGTGCGGTGTCTTCCTATACCTCCTTAGGTTGGGAGTTTCTATCGGGAAGCCTTTCTGGAAAGAGTTAATATAAGTGATTTACTTCAAAGAAAAAGACCCAATAGTTGTTTGTGTCCTCCTGAACACAAGGAGGCGTAAGCCTCCTTAAGAGGAGGGGGGTTAGGAGGAGGATGAAGAGGAAGGGGGGATCTCATTTTTTCTTTATTTTTAATAAAAATATTTTATATTAAGAAGAATAAAGATGCATAACATTAGTTGAAAGGGGGGCAAACCACTTTCTTTCCCCTTATCTTTTCTTCCCTTTCCTTTTCTTTTTCTCTTTTTTTCTTCTCTTTCTTTTTCTTTCCCTTCCCTTTCTTTTCCTTTCCTTTACTTTCCTTTTTTTTCTTTTTTCTTTTTTTTTCATGAAAAAAGCGCAAGGGGCGTATGCCTCAAGACGTTTTGGGAGCGCCCCGCCTGGAGGTGCACCTCCAGGCATACACCTCCCACGCCTTTTAAACACTAGTGCAAAGTTTATTCAGTTCCATGCCAAGTTGGCCGACAAAAAGGGCCAAGATTATGTGGAGATGTATGAGGACTGCAGTTTGTTGGACTGTTTGGGAGGAGAGAAACTCACGGATCTTCTTAGAAAAGGAGAGAAGCTTGGAAGTAATATTGGAGGTCATCCATATTAAGGTGATACATTGGCTGAAAACTTTGGCATTGTTTGCAGAATTCTCAATAAATGAGATGCTAAAAAACTGGAAGGAAATTGCAGAATTAGCTTCAGCTAAGAAGGCATCAAATTCTTGTTGGATTCCTCCATCTCATGGTTTTATTAAACTGAATTTTGATGGCAGCAGTATGGCTAATCCAGGGCCATCCGGAATAGGGGGAACAATAAGAGATGAACATGGGAATCTGTTAGCTATGTTTTCAGGACCAATAGGGGAAGGAGATTCCTTGAGGGCTGAGATACTTGCAGCTCTTGAAGGGGTACAAAGAGTCAAGGAGATGCAATTTAGTAAGCTGATCATAGAAGGAGACTCTGAAGTTGTGGTGAACTGGTTAAAAGATGATAACTCTAGGATATGGAATTACAGCAATGAAATGAGAAAATTTAAGTGGTTAACTAAGGATATTGAAATTCAGTACAAATAGGTAAAGAGAAGTGCAAACTCACTGGCAGATGGTCTAGCTAGGCAAGGGGTGAACAGAAACTCTTTATTTTGGGCCGTATTGTAATTGTATTTTGGTGCTCAGTGATTGTTCTAGGGAGCTAAGATTGTTTAGCCCCCTTGATTTGTAATTTTCTTAATCTTAATTAATACATTTCTTAGTTATTGATAAAAAAAAATAGTGTTTTATTAATGGTTGTTATCCCCTCATACATATCCTTAATTAGATCTATACACCTATTTTGAACCCTTTTTTTTTGCAAGACCCACCATATTATTTCTCTAGGAACTCTACCATAAACCTTGTCTAGGTCAATGAACACCATATGAAGATCTTTTTTCTTCTCTTTGAACTTTTCTATCTATCTTCTCAGAAGAATATAACTTTCATGGTTGATCTCCCTGTCATAAAGCCAAAATGGTTCTCTGATACATTTGTTTCAAGTTGTAATCTTTGTCCAATTATTCTCTTCCAAAGTTTCATAGTGTGGCTCATGAGTTTAATCCCTTGATAGTTATTACAACATTGTATATCACCTTAACAAAGATCAAATCACAAATATAATGATTCAGATAACACTCTACTAGAGATGTTAACATATCAAATACCCCAATGACAGATAAGAACTAAAAATAAATGGCCCTTAAACATGACAAAATCTTCCCCTAGTCTACCCTATATTGGATCAGTAGCTAATCTAATATGGTGCCCACTGAAAAGGGGACTCATGAAAACTCAATTTTGATGAAACTTGTATTGGTAATCCAGGACCTTCAGGCATAGGAGGTGTGCTCAGAGATGAGAGAGGTAATGTTATGGCACTCTATTCAGGACCAGTTGGGGAAGGAGACTCCCCTAGAGAAGTAGTCTTGGCTGTGATGGAAGGAATACAAAAAGCAAGTCTGTTAAACATCGGAAAATTAGTTATTGAAGGAGATTCCAAACTGGTGGTGAGTTGGTTGCAGTGCATTGAAAGGAGACTCCTCTAGAGCAGAGGTGTTGGTTATGGAAGGAATACAAAGAGCAAGTCTGTTAAACATCAGAAAATTAGTTATTGAAGGAGATTCCAAGCTGGTGGTGAGTTGGTTGCAGTGCATTGATCAGAGAATGTGGATTTTTAGCTCTCTAAAAAAGAAATTCAAATAGATAACAAAAGATATGGAAGTAAAGGTCGAATGGTAAGCGGTCTGCTAACTCTATGGCAGATGGTTTAAGCCAACCAAGGGATGGAGAGGGAGAGTCTGTCCTTGGCACTGTTGTAAAACTTATAGATTTTCAGGAAGAGACAAGTCTGTTTGTCTCTCAATGTCTGTGCGTATATAGTACCTCTTGAATTTATCTTTTTAACCTTTAATATAAATCTGGTTGTTATTGATCAAAAAAAGAAAGAATTTCACCGAGCACATGCAAAACACGTCTTGGTGTTGGAAACACTTGAAAAACTCAACAGCATGCATCACCAAGGATCTTTAACCAAAACAAATGTACTCACAATCAAAAGAATCACTCCCCCAGTCTTATAATTTTCAGATCTGATGTTTCTTCAGCCTACACTTGGGCATTTGAACTCTTCCAGGTAAGAGACAACAAAATTGTCCTTGTAATCATCTCTAGACGAATCGATGTGATATCAAACTTTGATGATTATATAACCAAGAACAAAATCAAACTGAACCAATAAGAGTTAGCTTCTAGAAGACAGCTGCAACTCAACACACAGTGGATTAGAGATTACCCATAAAGGGACATGTATAAACTAGAGAAAAAGACTCCAAAGGCCCTGGAAACTTCACGAAACCAAACCACCCACTCTAGAATGATACAAGAAGATTAAAAATACTGGTTCGCCTTAGAAGATTCCATCTATAACGTTGAACATAAAATCATGGTTCTTGATATTTGGGAAAAGCTTCAAGACCCCTTTCTTGCACCAACTAACCTTTAATTAGCTCTGCATAAATCATCTAAAACCAACCAAACTATAATGATTTGATCAGTTTTTTAATAATCCACCACCTAACAAACAATAAGCCAGGAATTCACACCTGAAAGCACTCCAAGGGTAACCCCAAAAGAAATTGATGCCAAAATGAAGAGGAAGAAGAGGTGGGCGTTTGCTCCTTGCTTTACAAAATTTTGTTGTTACTTCCTACCTCTCTAAGTGATCAAACAAAGCATGAGTGCAACCTAGAAAACAACCCCCAGGTTCCAATGACCAAAGATCAAGATTGAATAATCTATGATTTTTCTTAAAAATGTTGAAATCTGTTACTTTAACATGACTAAAACAAGAGAACAACGAATACCTAAACTGGTATCATGTGATCTGTACAAGTTAAAAAAAGAACTTTAAGTGAAACCAATCATGCGATCTCATACCAATAGTAAGGTTGTCCCAGTCATCCACCTTGACCCATTCCATTCTAGTTGAATCCAACTGCAAAATAAATAAATAAATATTACATACCAGTTGCATGCAAGATCACCTTGTGCATAGGTGCCAATGCCATTACATTCTAACTCTTTTGTTCGAACAATTACTAATCAGACCAGTATCAAATGCTCGAAAAGATGAACATCCTATGCACAGAGAAAGTTGATTCAAATAAAAATTTTGGGATCTGTGTTACTAATGTAATAAAGTCAACAATAAGTTGATATCAGATTCATGCAGAGATGCATACTTTTTGCATCAGTTCAAACAATTTAAACCATACACTTCATGTCATTACTGATTCAAAAAAGTATTACAGTTTCCCTACTACAAAAAAAGAAAGAAAATTTATCTTTTTTCTGGTCAGTAAGAAAACAAAAAGAATTTTCTTAAGTTGGAGGCATACAATATGCATCTCTGCTTAAAAGAACAAAGCAAAAAGTGGAAATACAATCAAATAGTCCAAAGAAAATCAACTTATAGAGGAAAATTACCTTCTTAAGGGTGTAATCTTGCATCTTCTCACAAAGCCCATCTAGAAGTTCAACAACTCTCAGTTCGCTAACTCTGTTCAAAAAAAAAAATCAGTGGTCAAGACTGACCATTTAAAAAACGATTACATGGTAACAAATATTCAACATAAATATGACCATGATACCAACAGATTTCAGCTTCCAAATTTGACAGAAGCAACAGACAACAATGTGTGAAAGGAAAATAGTCCATCAGCTTTAGGTAAAGTTTGTGGCTTGAGACTTCACCCACTGACTTACCTACTCAACAATAGCTACTAACCACCTTACCTGCAACTCCCCCTCCCTCAAAGAAAATTAAAAAATAAAAAATTTGGCAACCCTGGCAGCTGTACTCTTCCTCAACCACATTAATGGGTAGTTCTTTTCATAAGTTTCCTTGCACATGAAGATTGAAGAGTAAATTTATATATGTGGTTCATAAGTTTTGTCTCCAAAAAGTTTCATATACCTCTGGTAGTCACCCTAACTCTTCCCAACTAACCAAAAATGACTTCAGCCAAGGTTAAATTGAGCGCCTCTGAGTGGGCCCAATTTATGCTTTGGATCAGCTTGGCTTCAATGTTTTAAAATGTGGATGTGTGACATGAGGTGTTTAATTACCCTGAGGCATGAGGTGTCATTCAGATCGCAAGAGGTGTAAGCCTCCCGAGCACAAGGAAGAGGAGGAAGAAGGAATTCTTATTCTTTCTTCTTGGTGAAAGATGTCTTATATTAAGAAGAATGAGGATATATAACGCTCGCTGAAAGGGCATACACCTCATGCAAAAAGTGTTCGAGGCATAAACCTCAGAGACATCAATGCCTTGGGGCATTTTGAGTGTGCCTTGAGGACTTGCATAACCCAACCCACTAGACTTGCATCCTATGAAGAAACATTCACACTAAAACACCAAAAAAGAAAGAAAGAAAAGGATTGGACAAGCATAAACAAGAAAAGATTAACGCTGAACCTGCCTCTTTATCTCTGAAAAACTTGCTTTTCAGAGGTAAGAGACGTTTGGGTTCATGTCTTAAAGGTTGATCTGAATGCTAATTTCAGATCTGAAATGGTAAGAGGTCGCCCAGCTACTTAACACGGCCAGAGGCAATTCAGAGCTGGGAAAATGTCTGAAATGTCCTATGATGTTCAAAATTACAAAAATTGCCTCTCTTAACCCAAATCCAAGCCCTAATTCAACTACCTCCTTCTCAAGTTAAAGCTTCGAGTATTCCTTCTCCAATGCCGACAACTCTACCAACTACAATTTCCAAGTAAAAACAATGCATTTTTTTTGTTTTTTAGTTTTTCCATTTCTCACTTCATTGAGCCGATTTATCTTGTTGATGTTAGGCGATTTCCGGTTACTCTCACCTCATTTTCATAGAACTAGCGACATCTACTTATGACATCAACGATGGTTCCTTGAGGAAGGTGCATCCAGCAACCAATTCCCCTACATTTTGGTTTTCTTTTTTTTTTTTGGTCTTGTTTTGTTGTTATACACAGTGTTTTAAAAACTGACCCGGAAGCCGAACCGTTTTTTGCCTCCAAGTTACAAGTCACCAGTTCGATCAGCCAGGTCAAACAATTCAGACCATGCCACATCAGCGTACAAATGCATATTTTATCAATAAATAATGTATAATTATGTTTTAGATATATATCTATTATTTTATATTTAATTTATGTTTTCAAATTCAGTTTTTTTTTATTTATAAAAATATTAAAAATTGCGATTTGAGGCCAAAAAACGGTTTTTTTTCGCAAAAAATAGCAAGGCAAGGGCCTACGGTGCCTTGGGACGCATAGATCTCGAAAAGCTACCCAAAATTAAAAAAAGACCTCAAAAGGACATCGGAGTGCAAAGTTATGGCCTCTCGAAATTTGCATACACAATTAGTATGCAACCCGCGACCCGGTCACCGGGTCAAAGGTCCAACCGTTCGGGTCGAGCGGTTTCCGACAAAGTCAATAGTTTTTTGCTCTTCTCTGAGTTTTACTCAAACTGAACCCAAAACCTTGATCGGGTGATGGTTCGAATGATTCAACCGGATGAATCAACGACAAGTTAAAACACTGGTTATACAATAATAGGATGGTGTTATAGATTTGGGAAATTTATCGGTGGCTTGTCCGATGCCAGTACATTGGTTGTTTTAGGTTTTTTATAAATTCTTTGGCTTGTTCGATCTCAGCATGCACTGTGTTTGATTTCATTAATATTAGTTGTTCTAGAAATTGCTATTTTGACTTGTTCGACCTCAATGCATTAGATGGTTGGATGAACTCTTCCCTTTGGAAACACATGGCTTTGTAACAGTGTTAAAATGGTAAAATCCACCATTTTCAGATGTTGAAGGACTGATCCATCTCAAACAACCTTATTTGTTAAAAGCCTCTGAAAAGTGGAAAAGCATATATACTTCTTTTAAACTTCAGAGCTGAATAAGGGCAAATTTCTTAAACTACCCCTATGGTTTAGGAAATTAACTAACTCTACCCTTACTATTTCAGTATTGTCTTAAAGTACCCCTACTATTTCTAACAATTGTCTAAAACCTCCACTACTGTTAACTTTCCATCACACTCGATCACATACGACATCACGTGACCAATTTTTTTCAAAAATTCCAAAAACACCCTTTGGAACATTTCTCACACACACACACACACACTCTCTCTCTCTCTCTCCTCACCTCCTTCCCACACAGCGGACTATCAACGAAGCCATTGACGTTGTTGCAACCTTAGGTGATGGTTCTTCTCTCTCATCTCTATCTCTGGTTCTCCCCCGATCTCTCTCTCTTTCTTGCCGGAAATAGAGCGTTCTCTCTCTCTCTCCAACAGGGGTTTGGCACAACTATCGTCGGAGATACAGCCTCGGTTTTGGCGGGTGAAATACAGAGTATTGACACAACACCCTTCCTACAGTACAGACCTAACAGTTTCGGGATTCTCTTTCTCTTCAACAGCTCAAATAGAGCAGTAGTCTCTTCACCTCCTTTCCATCTTCTCTTCCTACTACTACCCTTATTTTTACTAATTCCCTTTCTTTCTGCTCTTCACCATACCAAACTACTTGGTCGAATCTGAAGTCAAGAAGGACAATTTCAACTTCTGTTTTGCTTTTCTTTTGTCAAAAGTTTTACGAGGAAGAATTTGAGCTAATCTATTTGATTTTTTTGGTTATTCGTTGTGAATATTTTTCTGAATTGTTTCTTTTCTCCATTATTTTTATCAGAATCTCTGGTGGATTTTGGTTTATTTAATCACCTCTAAGTGAATTTAAGTCCATTTTCCATTTGATCCTTGTCTTTGAACTTCTAATTCCTTTTTCTTTTTCTATCTCTCGAGTTATTATTTGGGGTGATGAGTTTTTGGTGTAAAGGGATGGTGGGCTCAAGGCATAATTTCCTTCACGGATGAGCACAGCAGCATCAAGAGTCGATTTCGACGGGAACGGAGAGCATGCCTTCTCTGGCATCAATCACCTTGTTAAGAGTTCTAGTGGCCAAAAATCTTGATTTATAAGAAAAGATGAAGAGATTCTACCTTCATTGACAGTCTGTAGCATGAAAAGAACAATAAACAAGCCCAAAAATCAAGGTCTCCCTTTGCTATTCAGAGAAAGAATCAAAGAAAAAACACGTCAAAGAAGTTAACCTACTCACTTTTTCAGTTTGGGGAGCCAACTGATTATAGGCTGAACGCCGATGCCAGTTACAGGTCCCGCAATCGCAACTAGGGTTTGCATCGGACCAGGGCTGGAGCCAATGAGCGAGCAGAGGCAGGGAGACCGATCAGACTGGGGTTATGTACAATTGGGGTTTCACAGCTACGAGAGAGAGAGAGAGAGAGAACAGGCCGAGAGATTCAGCTCAGCCTGATTCAGATCCCCCCCTTGCGGTCGCCTGATTCAACTTGCCCCCTCACTATTTGGCACCCATCGTAAGGGCAAAAAAGACTTTGTGTGTCTCCATTACGATTTAATAATGGCAACAATTCTCAAAAACAGTAGGGGTACTTTAAGACAATACTGAAACAGTAGGGGTAGAGTTAGTCAGTAATATTAGTTGTTTGAGAAGTTGTTATTTTGACTTGTTCGACCTCAATACATTAGATGGTTGGATGAATTCTTCCCTTTGGAAACACATGGCTCTGTAACAGTGTTAAAATGGTAAAATCCACCATTTTCAGATGTTGAAGAACTGATCCATCTCAAACAACCTTACTTGTTAAGAGCCTCTGAAAAGTAGAAAAGCATATATACTTCTTTTCAAACTTCAGAGCTGAATAATAGCTTTTATACTTTTCAGACTTCAGACTTCAGACTTCAGCGTTATCAAACGACACCAAAATTGTTAGTTTGTTACTCGAGTATTGATCACATTGTTGCACATTAAAAGTTTAAATATAACAAAAAAATAGAAACTTGCAATTTAATACAATACTATTTCTCAAAAAAAAAATAGAAACTTAAATACAAGGAACATAAAAGGGATAAAAAGTTAACAAATATTGAATAAGTAACTTTATGGGAGATTCCAAATCTCTGGACTGAAAATGAGGTTCTGATTTCTGAAGCATGTGTGACAGCTTGTTATAAGTATTTTAGAACTAGAGGATTAAGACTTGATCCACTAGGGAAGGGGTCTTGCCTAGTTGGATGGCTTCTTACCCTGAAGAAACTCTGGGCCACTGGTAAAATAAAAGCCCCAAACTAACATCTTGATATAACAAGAGAATGTAATGCCGACCTAGTTTAGATTGTATTGGAACTTGGAAGACAACACCAGTTACTCTTCTTTTCTTTTGAGACATATCGAAACAGTAACAATTAGGAAGTGAATGGAACACTATTGAAATGGACTTATCAAAGTAAATTGCTGGGTAGAAATAACACCAAAACTAAGATAGTTGACCTTCTGTTTTGGGTCCTCCTTTTGGCCCCTTTATTTTTTCATTGTACATAAGCTATATATGTAAGGATATTTTCTGCCTGTTTCATTTAATACAACCATTAATTTATTTTTTTCACTAGAAAAAGGTCAAAAGGGACCAAAGAAGATTATGATGGCTATCATATTACAACATTTAAATACCACAAGAGTACAAAAATCAATCAAGTCGACAGATCTAGAGAAAATATTCTATAAGATTGCTAAGTCCTTAATTTTTCTAGACTAGAGCATGTTATTAAGCTACACCCGATCACAGCTTAACAGAGAGAGGGGGGGCTTTCTTTCCAACATGATCTTTTAAGCCCAATCAATCCTATGGGTGGGATGAAACAATTTAGGAAAGAAAGGAGCTTGCAGCCTAGTTTAGTGAACAGTAGGCCCAAGTTAATTGGACCTTATTTGTAATGCAATAAGCATTTAATGGGCCTGCAGTAGAGCCCATTTAAATGGACAGCAAGCCCTAAAAAATTAAATTTATGTTAATTAATAATTTGTGAGGTGTTCCACTTATTTATAAAGGGGATGCCACTTATCTTATTCTAACAAGAGGGCTATTTCCCCTCCTTTAGCTACTTGAAGTGGGGGGACACATGTCACCCTAGGAAGGAAGAGTTTTCTTCCCCTCCTTTTTTTTGATAATTAGTTTTTTTTCCTCCTTAACCCATTTTAAGTGGGGTAACACTTAGCACCCTAAGAAGAGAGGGGTGGGGAGTTACTTATCAACTTCACTCCTCGATATAAACCCCTCTCCTACAAAGAGAGGGGGCTAATGCCATTTTGTTGGCTAATACTAATTTATCTGCAAGATTTCTAGCATTAAGAAATCTGCAGCTGATAGTTTGGCTAAATCTGGTACACAGGGATTTTTTTTGTACAGTGATAGAAATATGCCTTTGTAACCTGTGTGTAGCCTGATTGTACATCATCTCATGTAGGGGTGAGCATTATTTGGTTAAAACTGAAAATTTCAGTTTCAATTTTTCGGTTTTGTAAAATTTCGGTTTCGGTTTTCAGGTTTAGAAATTCGGTTAACCGAACTGTATTATCTATAATATATATATATATAACATATAATACATATATAATATGTATAAAATATATTATATTGTATTATATTATGTATTAAAATATATCAATTATTATATACATTGTATAATATATATTAAAATAAACACTATAATATATATAGTGTTAAAATTCGGTTTTAACCGAAAAAACCGAAAAAATAAACCGAAAATTTCGGTTTTTCATTTAAAAATTACGGCTTATTCAGTTCATTTTTTAATCGAATGAACTGTTTCTCACCCCTAATCTCATGTACTCTCTGTTTTCTCAATCAAGTTAACCTCTTTTCTCAAAAGAAAGAAGTAGGAAGAGAAGGGAAGAGAAGAAGATTGGTGTGAAGAGCATTAAAAAGAAGAAGAAGAAGAAGAAAAGGAAGGTAGGGAATCTTGTTTTCTTCCTACACCCCTTCACTATGATATTCTTTGTGCCTCCTACATGAGATGGAGGACTATATTCTTTCTATTCCTCTTACTCATTTCTTTCTTCCCTTGTTTTTTTCTTTCTTTTCTTCCTTGTCTCATATTGAAACACATGTAAGGAGATAACCATCTACAACCTTGTCTACGACACTTGGTTGATTATGGATCCTTATTCCATCTTAGCCCATAAAATCACTATTTAACATGCAAGGAGACAACTATCTACAGCCTTGCCCATGAAACTTGACAAATTATGGTTCCTTACTTTATTTTGACCCTGAAAATTATGACTTTGAGTGAAAGAATAAATTGTCTACGGCCTAGTTTAGAAAACTTGGCTGATTATGGTTCCTCACACCATAATAATGCACACCATATTACCTATTTGCTTGTTATGCCTAAAAAGTTTATTTATTTATGTTTGTTGGTTTTCTCTCAAACAAAGAGGGAGTATAGACCAAAATTTTCAAAAGAAATTTTGTAGAAAAATGCTATTTACTTTATTCATTTGTACTTCTAAATCAAAATTAAGAGGTTTTCTCTGCCCCTAGCAGAGATGTAATTAAGGGAACATCTACATGATTTCCTAAAAGGGAGTTACCCAAATATCAAAAAAAAAACCCAATTATTAGTCTAATTGGGTGAATTATGTTATGTGAGAAATTACACTAAAAAAAAATTCCACTAACAAAGATTGACTATTTAAGTTCCAAACTATATGCTTATGTGCAAAGAAGATTAAGATGGTTTGGTCACGTGTAGAGAAGACATCATTGACAAAAACCATAACTCTACAATAAGTGATTTCTTGCAAGTTGAAGGGGCTAGAAGGGATAGGAGTAGACCAAAAAGGACATGGGTCAAAGTAGTAAGAAATGATTTAAGTGCCCATAATTTAACAATGGATATGACATTAAGCATAACGGAATGGAAAAACACAATACATGTAGCCAACCCCATAAAGTTGGGATAAGGCCATGATGATGATGATGATGATGATGATGATGATGATGATGATGATGATGATGATGAGTCATATTTATGCCTAAATTTTTTATAATTGCCTGCAGAAGTCCATGAAGATGTAAGAAATGTATGGTAAGATTGGAATCTGATGAGTGGAGATTTAGAGGATGTACCTGTAGTCGATTACCTTTCCTCTACGTTGACCTTTGGAATCCAAACGATGTCTCATATCCAAATGATTTCTTGGTTTCTCCTGGAACAGAAATGTTAAATAACAAAATCATTGAATACAGAGAAAGGTTAAAATAAATAAAGATGTAACAGGACAAAAGTTGGACACGTTTAAAGTTTAACTACTCCGGGCAGTTTGAATCTTGTCAGGACAAAGGTAACATGTGTTTAAGATATATGCAGTGACATATGCAATATTCAGACAAGTAATAATTAATCCAAGAGAAAACAGAAAAGAGAAGGATGAAATCCTTACATTAGAAAGACCAATCTCTAGCTCTTCCTGCAAGTAATTCAAAATAATAGTCAGGCCCAGATTCAGCTGATAACAACTTATAATTAAGCCAAGACTAAACTCAAAATACTCCAAAATTGCATGTCAATTTTTAGAATGACGCCATTAATAAAATCTTATTATTAAATATGCAAAAGATAATAATAAATCTACAGAAGATTTACGACACATGTCACACATCCATTGCAAAATTGCACGCGACATCCAATGCAGAATAGCAGAGAACAACGATGTTAGTGTTGTGGTTATCTAATATGCCATTGCAATACGTTAATCCATCAAAGAATAATCCTCCAAATTTTTTTATTTAAATTTGTATCATGATCTTAAAGTAGCTGCACCCCAATCATGGTCCCTCAAAATTTTAAAAGGAGATCAGGATACGATACAGAAATAAGGGGGGATGTCCCAACTCATTTTTCCAAGAAAGGGACGCAACAGAATTATCTTGAGGCAGTTTATAGGTAGAAGCATTTTATGTCGCGGAAACGCTAATAACTCATGATGAAACAGTAGTATTAATTCAAAACCAGAAAAATCTAGAAACCCAATTCGAACTCAATTAATTAACCAACTCAAAATAGAGCAAGTTCATGGTAAAAACTAAAGACAAAAAATAGTTTATTTCTTTATAATGGATTGGAAGAACTTGCGAATGAAAAGACCATTAACCAATTAAGAGAAAAATACTCAGTTCGCCTTTGTATCCATCATTCAACAAATTAAAAACTTAACAAGGGTTCGACAGACAACAAACAACAAACATCAAGAATTTCATACAACCCATTACAGTAAAACGATCGGAAAGCCATTTTATCTTGGTAGAAGATCTGAAAGGTGAAATTTAGAATAGTCGGGGAACAGTTGAAGTCCAACTGAACGATGTAATGTAAGAACAATTTCGAATAGAAAGAAGAAAGAAATCATTACCGCAACTGCACTACAAGCTGCACATTTATCATCGATGCAAGCAACCGAGACAAAAATGGCGAAAATCGTGACGACCCACAGCAAATACGCCACTGCACCCTTGTTTTCTCCTTTCTCCATCTTTTCTCTCCCTCTCGGCTCTCGCACCTGCGGCCTGCCTGAATTGGTTTGATTAATTGAAGGCGTCTTGCGGTTGCGGGCTGCAGCATATTTTGTGTCGAAACTCGAAACTCAAAACTCAATTAGTAGAGTCGGGCTCCACAAAGAGCAGGACAGCTCTATTACGACACGTGGCATGGTATTATTGGAAAATAAGAGAAGACTTTCCACGTGGAGGAACAAAGAGCAAAGAAACACGTGTAACCTTTCCACGCTCCCTATCACTTAAAAGGCCACGCTGTTTGGGAACTGTCCGTACTTTTCCGTATTTTTTTCTATCAAACCAAACACAACCAAAAGATAAAACTAACCTCACGTTCATTTTGGCTTTTATCTTTACAATCAATGGTTTCTTTTTTATCTTTTCGAGATGTGTGGTATAAGATGGATTTGTAAGTCGTAGAAGAAAACAAACCCCTGTATATGGATAGCATTTTACTTATGGTAGACCCCACCTAGAAGATACTTGAGGAAATAGATCAGCCTGCCCTGACATCACAACAATGGGCCCACGAATGGCTTTGATTTCCGGAGAGCTTTCAACCGTTGATACATTTGAACTTGGGGCTTGGTGTTAGGTGGGCTCCACTGATAAAATAAGTTTTTTTTTGTTGGTTTTAAAAATCTTGACATTGGAAAAAAGGGGAAATTTTATATCAGTACCCGTAGTTTGGGCCTAGTGTCACTTTCGTCCATGAATTTTAAAATATGTTAATTCAGTACTTAAACTTTCAAAATGTGTCAATTTAGACTCTGCTGTAAATCAACCATCAGTTATGTGTATTACATGATGTCATGTGCAATTTAAAACTTTTTAAAATGTCAAAATTATCCTTTTGAAATAGAACACTATTCATCATCTTCTTATAAAACAAATGTGCAATAAAATAATGTCAACACCACCCTTTGTTTGTTGTCCCATTCAAATAGGGTGGAACCATCACTAGGGATGCACACAGATCGTCCAAAGGTCCAACAAAAGGTTATCCGAATTCGACCAAATAGGATCGGATCTCAGATCGAATCAGAACATGATCCAATCCATTTGCACCCCTAACCACCAGGCCCACCACCACCATGGTAAAGTACACCTAGATGCTGACAAACGTGGGCACTCCAGGCACCTATAAGGCATGCATGTCTTTGTAGACGATGACCGTGAAGATCTTGGTTGAGCCGAATACATTGAGTTTCAGTCAGCCAAATGAGAAGAAGACATTTATGGTGACGTTTGGTGGTTCGATACCATCGGGGACGACAAGCTTCGCTCATCCTGAAACAAGGAGCAGAAAGAAAGAAAAACTCTCTGGGAATGACTTATTATGTTTTGTATTTTGTTATCTAACAAAAAAAAGGCCTGTTGTAGAATGGATTTAGGCAAAAAAAATAAAAAGTTAAACACGGATGGTTTCCTGTTCAAGTCATCAAGTGTTAAATGCATTATTAATGCATGTGTAGAATGAATTCTTGAAGATGCACGAAATAAAAAAAGGAAATCCAAAACCAAAGGAGACTTGTCATCCCTAATGGAGACTCACCGGAGAGAATCACCCCTGGACCTGACAATGGCTATGTGCATGAGACAAGAACCGGCGGAAGGAGGCAGAGGAAGTTCTCTAGACAGTTTTCTAGTGATATTTCCATTTCTACGGATTAGAACCAATGTGAAGACCCGATTAATAAAGAAAATTAGATGACACTTAAAGGTATTTATGTCCTTTTACATGCAATTTAACGGCTGCTTAAACTTAGATACTGAATTAACACATTTTGTAAACTTAGATACTGAATTAACACATTTTGAAATTCAAGGACTAAAATGACAATAAATCCAAAGTACAAGGTACTAATCTGAAAATTTCCCAAAAAATATCTTGACATCGGATTGGCAAATAAAACCATGGCCATGGGGCATGACTGGAATCCACTATATAAGGAAATAGATTTCCCATCACCAAACCAAGGAGGCATTACATAAAGCATTTAGGTGTTTTTTGTTTTGAAAACGTTGGAATGCAATGGGCATCTGTTGTGCCTTGTGGGCTGATGACTTAGATAAGCGACTCAAAACTGGTCATCTCTCGTCTTCATCTGCCTTAAGAGTTAAGGCCCCGTTTGGTTCGTGAGAAAAAGGGTCTAGAATCAGAAACGGAATGGACTATTCTGATTCCAACTGTTTGATTGAACGGAATCAGAATCTCATTCTCATTCTCATTCCTGCTGGAACGACATTCTCCCATTTGAGGGAATGTCCATTCCCTCCCCTCCCTTGGGAATGAAATCTCATTCCTGCTGATTTAAATTCCTATTCTCATTCCTGTCTAAGCCAAACACACTATGAGAATGGAGCATTCCGATTCAGATTCTGATTCCATAGGATTTCGATTCAGATTCCAATTCTAACAGCAAACCAAACGGATCCTAAGAGTTTGAAGAGAATCATTGTTGACCGTGGAGTTGAAAGAGTTGTTCAAGCGAGGAATGGTGTATCATCATATTTTTCGTTAAGTCAAGAAATTTTTTTTATCAGAATCAATTTCATTAAAAAGGAATTTGACTGGTGAGCACATGAAACTCAATACAATGTTCATGGGTAATTTTCCGTGGTGTCTCCGAGACACTGCCTCCTGGTTCGTGGCTCTCTGGACACATCAGATATGAAATCACTTCAAGGTGCGCACTAAAGACTCCTCCCTTCTGAAGACGTTTTTGACAATTGTCACGAATGGAATTGTTTTACAAATTTCTCATGGGCGATGGCATCCTCAAACCCAATAGCCAATACCATCAATACAATTAAGAATTCAATAGCCTTAGTGTAGGTGGGCAACCATCTAAAATATGCCTCAACAGCATAAAAAGCCTATTAACGAGGCGAGAGAAAAAGTAAAAAAAAAATCATTAAAATCAATCAAAATATTCTCAACAAGCTTTACAACATATTGATCAAATAATTGAACAGAGAGAGAGAGAAGAGAATTGATTGGAGAATATTACTTCCGCTATTAGGTTAAGGTAAATATACTGCAGATGAAGAGGCCAAAAATCGCTTTAGAAGCAAAAATTCTATGCTGGTTCAGCACTCAGTTCGTGGTCTCTTTGCAGACTTGTTACCTTCCGATGGCGTATTTAGTATTGGATTGTCATCATTCTCCTTTTCCCGTTTCTCACTATCTTTGAAAGTCCAGCCTGCAAATTCAGATTCTGAAAACAGGGAGGTTGGAGTTGCTTTGTAAAATGCAAGAGGGACCTGTTTCACCCTGCGTCCAATCTGTGGTTCATATTCCAACAATATCACTGAAAGGTTTTATGTACCAAGATGAAGCAAAAACAAATGAAATTCCAACCAAAAACCCTGTGGCTCTGATAGGAGGGAGAAAAAACTGATTTTTGAATCCAGGTTTGCTCCACCTTAATTGAAAAAAGGCAGCATATCTGCTGGGCCACTGGATGGTACCATGTAAATTGTAGCTTCATGCATACTTTTGACACATGTCGAGGAGACATGTAAAAATATCTTTTGGGGTTGCTTTGTGCCTAAACTTGGTGTTTTTTATATAAAATGTACACCAATTTTAGCTAAACCAATAAACCATATCATAATGGGGTAAAAGCGTGTAAAAAGGGCATCATAAAAGACCAATTTTCAATCTTGAGAGCCATAAAATGGGTTTAGAGCAAATCACAACAGCAATGGGAAAGTAGTGCTTTTATTATAGTAGTGCTTCAACTAGTAACCCTCGTCATGTATACTTCACAAGATATTCTTTTACTAACCTCTGAGTTTCTATGAGCAAAACAAAACACCATCAACTTTATAGTAGATCAGGGCATTTTCACCTTAGTTTTTTCTCCTCTGTGATCAACTCATCATTCCTCTCAGTATTTCTAATTAATGACCAGAACAGGGGTTCTGCTCCATTTTTTCTTTTTCTCCACAATAAACACAGGCGCACACATACATTTCAATCTCCCTCTTGTTAAAAAAAAAAAATTGGGCTCCACAGCCTCCACAGTTCTTTCCCCATGGGCTCCACCCCAGTTTTAATTCTTCCATGCAAGATCACTTTTAATGTCTGCTAGGCAACAAGGTTCCCCAGTCACCTAGCCTTGCCGCAATGCCTTGGCAATTGGCATGCCTTCTTCCTCCCTTGAAAATGAATCTTGCCCCCATGGGGTCCACCCATAGTTTTCATTATTTCATGCAAGATCACCTTTAATGTCTGCTAGCCAACATGGTACTCCCCACTCCCCAGTCACCTAGCCCCAACAACTATATGCCTTGGCATGCCTTCTTCCTCCCTTGAAAATGAGCTTTTTCTTAAGCATTTTTAGCAACCCATGAACAAATTCCCCATAGAACGTGGATAACAAATGAAGTTGACAATTTAAAAGAAAAAAAGAAAAGTCTATAAATTTATATCAGAATTCAGAAGCCACAAATCTTACCTCCGATCTGAATATTGTGGCATATGAACCAGAACTGAAATCCTTCACAGCAACTTCAGTGGTCTTGGCTCTAACAGTCAGGTCAGTCTCAAGTGAAAGGACAAATCTATAAATATGCAGAGTAAGTTGTTAGGAATAAACCTTTGTTTATTATTATTTATTTTTTGGAGGGGGGTTAAAGGGATCAGCAATACAATATGCTTACCTTGAAACAGCTGGGCAGTAATGGTGGCGGAGTGTGTCGATTTCCCATAAAGAACTTTCTGCTCCAGCAATTATATTGGCACATACATTATAATAAGCAACCATATTAGTACATCGCATGACTGAAAATCTAAAGATACAACCTACCCTCAAAAATATGCATAAACAAAACAGAAACAGATGAAATACAGAATTATGCATATGAATTGATCTATTGCAAAGATTACCAATAAAATTAGCATGGCAAATGTAAGTTAATTTTTAAACAGGGTGAAGTGCTGAACAAAAGGAGGAAATCCTACAGCAACCATTCATGATCCTGTCTAGGAGAGTTTCTTAGTGTCATCTTTTTATCAATACTAGAAATCAAGATAGAGGAAAAAGGAAGGGTTTAAAGTTGCTTCTGAATCAATAAACTTATTATTATTCATCAAAAAGGAAGGGTTTAAAATTGGGAGAAATTGGTGTAGCTGTAGATTTTTCCTTTTTTAGGGGGGTGTATGTGAATTTGGTTAGTCTGAATACACACACAGACACAGACACATAATATGCTGGAGATGGCAGCACTGTCGATTTTTTTTTTTTATCGATAACGCATTCATTAGCAATTTCATTAATTCAGGATAAAGATGATTACAAAGAAGAAGACAAGAACTCTTGTCTTCCACATACAGCTAGAGAACTTAAGAAAAGAAACGAAAAGGAAATGGAAACAGTAGTTCACAAATTGGCCCAAAACATTGAGTCCCTTTCTACCCCTTGTTTAGTTAATCCATCAGCCAAAGAATTAGCCGATCTTTGAACCCACCTCATCTTCACTTCCATCTCCCTCACCAGCCACTTAATCCTTTTTCCTCTCAGCATTGTCGATTTCTATAGGTACTAAGAGGACACATGGCATGCAAGAGTCGCCCTAACCAGAGCATCAACATTCCTTCGTTTTCATTAAGACTCTCAATCCATAGAGGCGGTTTCTATCCTAACAATCATTTTCTTCATTTGTTCTTCAAGAATAAGAGAATAGATCAGCAAATGCGGTTGGTATTTAGCAACAAGAATAATAGTAGGAAAAGGACATGCTGGACACTAGTATATATTGTACACCTCTATATTTGACACCTGATCCACATGCCAAGTTGATATACTTTAGAATTTTAATATTATTTTATGGGCATGCCTCCTCGCTCTCACCTGTTTCCAATATGCTCTGCATTTGCCACTTGCTATATCCAGACAAAAAACTACTCCAGCTCCTACCTCTACTGTTACTTTAGGGAATCAGGGTGGTATTTCCTTCAGGGATCTTTTGAGCCTTTTATGATGCAGTCAGATTGATTGAAAAATAATTACAAAATGGAGGGGTTAAAAGAGTCCCATTATCCCAAAAGGCTGGGCATATGTGTAGTGGGTGTCAACAAGGTTCAGATTTCAGAACACAAACTAAGTAGATAATTTTCCAAAATTTGCACCTTCTAAAAATTCCTAATAAGTTTTGCTGAATTCACAATATTCTAGGAAGGCAATTATTAGAAGCCCCAGAGAAAAGTTCATTTGTTATTAGAAGTCCCAGAGGTAAAGTGATTTTTTTGAATAACAAGCCAAATGATTAAATGGAGGCAGAAAGGATATTTATTTAAAAGATCAAGCATTGTCATTATTTTCTTTACAATACAATTCACAACAAACCATAGAACCATGCAGAAATTATATGGTTAAAAATTTTAAAAGCACTTACTCATGGCATTAGATTTTGCAGGGTCATTCTCCTCAATATTAAAAGGGTCAACTCCTGGCCTTTTGCAGGACGCATCATGGCCAATGCCATCCTTGCTCTTACCAAAATCACCAGCTTCACTTGAAACTTCTCTATCATTTTCATCACCTTCTAGCTGTAAATATCACAATTGATATGAAGATTTCTCCATCAAAGAAAGAATAATGGAAGAACCCATATTAGAGAAATAACAAAAGATTTAAGTGATTACAAAGTAGATAATTCAAAAATTATGGACTGTGAATTGGGACCCCTTCCCCCTGTGAATAGAGAACAACTCAATTCAAGTGCCTAAATCCCAAGCATTTATGGTTTTTTAATAACACCCCCGCTTCTAAAGACAGTTAAAGACAAGAAATACCCCTGCTATTTCTTGTTGAATCTAATATTAGTATCATTTTCATACTCTAGCTGCTTAATTAAAAGGAGCATCCATTTATCAGAAAATGGAACATGCTCAAATCAGCAGCCAAAGTCGTTTATTAATTACTTGAGCCACAACTGGAAGCCAACAAGATTTTTTTTTTCTGAAAAAAGGAAAGCCAACGAAAGAATTTTCTCAAGTTTGTCACTCTATATGTTGCATAAAGTTTCTCAAGTCTGTCAACTTGGTTCAATTTTTGCTGTCATTAGAATTATTCTACTATATGCGAAATTCATACAAATTGTACTATGTCAGAAGGAAGGGAATCTGCCCAATATCCCTTAAACTACAATATATGGCTGCTATGGTTAATGTGCCCGTGAATGGTATCAAACTTGCTATTACAAAAATGAGAGAAACTGAAGCACTATGCGTGTGTCAGAGAGAAAATGATGTCCACATCTTCACAATTATTACACATCTAACAAAGAAAAGCATACACACATACACAAAAAAAAGAATATTTGCATACCAATGCACCCACTATAATTCACAGTTTCATACATGCAATCATGTATAGTATATGGTAGTTGGTAGACAGATGTCTGTGTGTGTGTGTGTGTCTGTGTGTGTGTGTGCGAGAGAGAGAGAGAGTAACATTACCCAATGAACCAAACAGTTAATTGAAGGGTGCCTCCTTAGGAGGTTGTGTATTAGAGCAATAATAACTAGTGCTCCTGAAGGAGGGACCAAAAGTGCCAATCTGCTCAATTTCTTAGCAAATGCAGCAGCCAGATATGCTGGAAGAAGTGGAGATTTCAAACAAGCATCAAGAAGCTGCAGAATACAAAACAACTTAGACAATATTACAGTATCATCTCCACAAACTAAATCTTTCTATAGTCAGAACTGTTTGTTCCCAACTCTTAACATCAAAATTCTGAATCAGCTTAGCTACCAATTGGATGAAGTAAAAGAAAACCTTGAATTTACAACAAAAGGTTATCAACTATCTTAATGGATCAATCAACAAATACTACCTCAAAAAACTTCGCCCGATGTTTTGCCATAAAGATAGAAGGCAAAAGTAACGCATAAAGCTTTTGATAGAAGTTGGGATACTCTAAACCATGCTGTGTCATAAGAATGTACAGGCTGCTAAGAGCCATGACACTAACACCACCACCAATGTCATATGATCTTGTTAAGAAGTCACTGCATATGGTCACATGATAAATAAGACGCTCCTCAGTTATACACATAAAATAAACCAAATATAGAAGAAAGGAAAAGAGACCTCAAGAGAGGGCTCACCATAACATGACAGGATTTGACAGATGAGGAATAACTGCCTGATGGAGAGTAACAAGAACCTGAATGTTTTGTAGGGGAAAAAGCATATTAGGAAATAGGGAAACATAATAAGGAAATAATTTACCCAACAAAGGATAAGATCATTCAAGGTCAGATAACATGAATCTTGCCAAGTAAGAGAGTAAAATGAAGAATAGATGCCCAATCAGTTAGTTCCCTCCCTCCCTACGCATATCCCCCATAGGGCTGTTGGGTAGCATAATAGTCATGGTTTGCAATATCAACGACATTTGGCAAAATATCCCCAATATATCTCCATTTGCTAGATGGTGATACGAAATCTTCGGGAATCTTTTTTTCCCAAATTACCCACAATACATTGCCAATATGTCAGCGATGCTTCAGATTTCATTGATAAACTATATATTTAAAGTTTAAAAATTTAGAATATTATTAAAAACTTTTCAATATTTCATTAAAATCATCATAGTTTAAAAAAAAAAAAACTAAAAGAACCAATCAAGAATTACCAATTGGATAACTGGCTTACTACTTCGATATGATTCACTTACTAAGTTACTATGATTCAAAAGGAAAGAAAAATGCATATAACCACAAAAGAGCATTCTCAATCTAATCATAACATGTAGTAACAACAAAGACAAAAGTTAAAATGGCATGCAACTGACATACATAAAGATGAGAAGATGGCTAAAGACCAAAAGGGAGACACAGAAACATACTTATCACAATCGCTTAATTTTGTCCTATATGAATTATATAATTCTTTGCTATGGTTTTTAAGCCTTAAATGTGCAATAATATTTTTTCTAATGATCTCTTGAAGGTTTATTAGCAAATTTAATGTTTCTAGGAAACTTATCTGATTTTATAGATTTGTCAAGTATCTTAGCGAAATTAGAGAATTATCTCCGAAACTTCCCCAACTCTACATGTAAAAATGTACATCAAAAATTATTTATCAAAAAAAAATGTACATCAAAAATTACGAACCAAGCAACACAAGTCCATACCCATAACCCCCCCAACTTAGTGACAACAGGATTGGATACCCAGCTCAGGAACCACCTAGCCATGAATGTTTCTTTTACGTAGTGCACTTGTACCTATTCCCTCTCTGGCTAGACTTAACAACTTCCCCCGACTCTAATATCTACATTGACTTGTATCATGCAAATAAAACCTCCTTGACATGTCCAAAAAAATGTCAACCTTCCCCTATTTAACTCACAATTACATAGGTATCCCCTCAGAGTTGCTTGTAGTTGTCAATATCATGTCCCTTCCTCCGTTGATTTTTCGTCCCCTTTCAAGACAGAAGTAGCACATATTTCCCTTATGCCTCTTGTTCAAAGCCTAAGGCAATAATCCCCCTCAGTGTTTTAAAAGCGCAAGGCGCAAAAAAAGCACAAGGGCAAATTGTGCCCGAGGCACAAAGCAAGGTAGACACCTTTTTGAAGCAAGGCGCAAGAATGCAAAAAATGCCTAAAAATACAAAAATGCAAAATAAAATAAAATAAAATAAAAATATTAAACATAATATAAATTAAAAAATTAAATTAAATTTTAAAATAAATGTTTTAATAAGCATATTATCTCAAATTAAAATACATAAACATAGCATGTAAAACATATTCAAATGAAAATGTAAAAATAAAATCAAACAAATAAAACATATTCAAGCATGTAAAACCCTTAATCTCATTTTTCTTCCAATTGTGTTACTTCAAATAGCTAATGTGGTGTAAAACATGATTTTATAATTTTAATTGACTTTTAAGAATGTATTATATTAGGATGAATCAATGAACAACATTAGTAAATATGGGATTCTCAAAGCTCCGGTGAGCAAGTGAAGCGAGTAAAAAATTTAAAAAAAAGGACAAAAAGGCACTTACTTTTTGAGTGAGCGAGCGAACCTAGCCCAGCCACTAGGTTCAAAAAACAAAAAAAATAAAAAAAAAAAACGCATGTTTGGGCTGAAGTGCAAGGCACACCAGGCAAACTCCTTTTGAAAGTATTGTATCTAGGGCCTAGGCAAGGCACATACCTTGAATGCATCTCGACTGTGCACCTAGGCATGCCAAAGGCCACCTTTTAAATCATCGATCCCCTTCTTATCCTTTGTTTCTGGCAAGTGATCATGGGACTGATCCAATGCCTCTTAAAAGTTAAAGTTTATTGCTAGGATGATTCTCCTCCTGTGTGATCCCTCTATCCAAGGAATGAAGAAGGTGCTAGGCACCTCTTTCTAGAATGCACTTTCACTATAAAAGTATAGGAACAAATTTACACTCTCTTTGGTTTTTCATGGTCTTCTCCCTCAGATGTTGTAGGGATATTGTCATCTCAGCTCATAGCAATAAGAGGAAAAATTAATTGGCAGTGCACAAGAGATGCCCTCTTGTACCAACCGGGAAAAAGAAAAAGGGCAGCTCTCTTATGAAAGTATTTGGTGTGCACAAAATGCCAGAATCTTTAAGAACAAATATCAAGATACAAGTTGCATCCTTGACCTCTGCATGCTAATACAAGTGGCACTTTTGGTGTTGACTAGAGACGAAAAGGGCATAAAAATAGACTCAGTTCTTCATGATTGGTCTATGGTGATAGTATATTCACATCAAAGACAGGTAGCAGCTACTGAATGGCAAGTGCCCAAAAAGAGGGAATAATATATTAGAATTTTAAGAATTTGATTTGCAATCCAGAATAATCAGGTGTTGGGGGAATTTTCAGAGACCATTAAAGAAACATAATGATGACTTGTGAAGAAGCAGCGGGAGTTTGAAATTCTTTATGAGCAAAGCTGATGGCACATCAAGGTTTGAAGTTAGCAGTTGAAACAGGCTGGAGTGTAATGAAAATAAAAGGTGATTATTAAATAGCAGTCAGCTGGTTTCAATCAAACACGAAAGGCCCCTGGAAACTTCAATATCTGACGAGGGATGTAAAAGTTATGGCATCTAATCTGAACTGCTTGTTCAGGTGGATTCCAAGATATGCAAATAGTTTGGCTCGCTGTCTAGCTTAGACTAGGAAGGACAAAAAGTGCTCTAAACTGGAGCATGCAAGGACTTGAGCCAGGGATTGATTGTAACTTGCAACATTTCAAAGGAACTGAATAGTGTGGTGCCTAGTTTTCTATATCTTAGGAGGTAAATGTATATTTTCTTTTCAGATAAATGTTAATGATAAATAAAAAATCCAAAAATATCCTTCAGCCTATGAGAACATAGTACACTATTTGCAGAATTTTTTAAATAATGGAAACTTTTTACTGATAAATTAAATAGTGGAAACTTTAGAGATTAAGGAAAAACACCATGGGGTTAGTTTAGGCTTTTCTTTGTTTTTGGTTATCAGGTTGGTGTGATGTTTTTTCCAGTGCCATCATCTTCTATTAATATTGCTCTAGCAAAGAACTTAAAAATCCCATTCCCCTTTTATTCTATCAATTTAAAGGTGGTTCTGCAAGTACCATATTCAACTCACAGTGGTTTCTTCAGTTGAGGACAGTAAAACAAGTTAGTTGAAGAGACATGGTATATAGAAGATTATCCACTATACAAGTAAGAAGTGGCATGTAATGATTCTAGAAGAGTTAAGGGAAGGCCAAAAAGGACATAGGTTGAGATAGAGAGAAATGATTATGGAGCTCAAAATCTGACAGACAATATTGTCCTGTCATTGATAGAGCAGAGTGGCAAAATAGAATTCATATTTTTTAAGATAAGCAACAAAATAGACTTCTTTAATTTTTTTATGAACAAAATAGAATTCATATAGTCAATCCCATATAGCTGGAATAAGCGTTTGTCAGCTTATATTAAATTTCTTGAGCTGATAAGCGTTAGAATATGGCCTTGAATCTGAGAGAAGCCACTTTATGCAAAAAAAAAAAATGCCAAAAGTAAGGTCCATAACCAGTCCACCCCTCCCAAGACCCCAGGTAGTTTGGGAACAACATTAGCAATAGACCTTTATAGGTTTATTTGAGCTGATCTTAGCTCATCAAAGACCAATTAATTGGAGACATTAGAAAAGATCCCAAGTGGTAAAAGATCAGAGGCCAGTAAATCATGATGATTTTATAGGAAGATAGGCATTAGCTACAAGGAAGATAAAGCTCTAATTAGCAAGTACATCTATACCGAGTTTAAGGCAATACCTTTTCATGCCTCGAATTAGAGACTTGAGCCTCAAGAACATGTAAAATGACTTGAACAAAGATATTAAATTTCAAAAAACAAAGAGTCAGAATCATGTTTATTTTTCGAGACTAATCAATCCATGAAAAATATAAATTAACCCTGGTTAGCACAGCAGTCACAATATATCTCGTAAAAACACCAAAATAAGGATAAAAATGAAGCCATTCAAAAGAATATAGGAGTAGCTCCAATAGGTGATTAAACTCGAGAAAGTAGACGCAGATGGTTCAGTTACATACATAAAAGACCACCTACAGCACCTGTAAGAAGAAGCAATCAGATACAAGTTGAAGGGGCTAGAAGGGCTAGGAGCAGACCAAAAAGGACATGGGTCAGAGTAGTATGAAATGATTTGAGTGCTCATAATTTAATAATGGATATGGCATTAAACAGAATGGAATGGTAAAACAGGATTCATGTAGCCAACCCCATATAGTTGGGATAAGGCTTAAATGATGATGATAATGATGATGAAACAATTCACAATGTTTTATAAGCCTTTTGTTTATTAAAAAACATGTGCATTTAAGGCTTATATTTTGGCTCATATATTAGCATTTTAGAATATGCTATTCAGTTACTCGAACAAAAAGATATAAACCCATCATCATAACCTCTCAAGGTGAATAATAACAAATTGCGTACAGCATCTCCTCGGTATCAAATGGTTCCAGACTGTTCTAAGAAATTGGATGAGAATCAGGGATCACAACTTCACCTTGTACATTTCAGGGTTGATTAACAAAGTGAGAGAATACACCATTGTTTAAAATTGGCCTATGCCAAAGAAGGTCAAACAATCAGTGAAAACTAGTGAAGGTAAATATCAAAGAGCATATTAAGAACGTGTTGAGGTAGGGACTGAGATAAGCGATGAGAAATCTGTTGTTCGGAGTCAATAAGACTTTGAGTTGTGCACAAAATATAAAAGCAGAAACATGTCAATGTAGAGGTTGAGCTAAAATACATACACCTAATTCTTATTTCATTTCCCCCCCAATATTGACAACCTTGGTTGTCTCTTACTGTCTTTGTTGTAGTTTTGTTCTATTCAGTATGGTAATTACAGTAAGCCGAGGTAATGATCACATCTTGGTTTGTTATTCCAGAAGCTTTTATGGTGTTCGTACCATAAGGAGGTTATGGTTTGTTTGCATTCCTTGCAAGATATCTTGCATTCTTGCTTCCCTTGAATTTTATGTTCTAATATTTATCAAGGTTCACAATTAAACAATAGATATGGCACAAAACAGAACCGAATGGTGAAATAAGATTCATGTAGCCAATAGTTGAGACAAGGTTTAGGTGATGACAATGATATTGTTTACCAAGATTCCTTGTGTGGGCATGTCTCTCTATTATTTATTAAGATTCCTTGTGTGGCCATGTCTGTGTTTAAACCAGTATTTTCAAACTTTCGTTGACCCAGAGGGTCAAACTATTCGACCTCACCCAGAAGCCAGGATGGTTTGGTCTAACCCCAGACCCATTAATCCAACTATTCAGATTTAATTTACTTAAAAAAAATGGACTGACCCATTCAACCCAGAGACTTGAACCATTAATCCCATCACCCAGAGAGGGAAAGGATTTGATGCCCATGTCAGGTTTTTAAACACTGGTTTAAAGTTTAATGTGTTGGTATTTGGGAGTTATAAGAAGATACCTGTACAAGAGTTGCTGGCATTCCATATCATATCAGATACTTCAGTTTTAAGTAAAAAAATTGTATCTGACACAGTACCCAGCTGTGTGTCCTTGCAGCATCTAGGTAACTTAGTTTGGAAGCCCCATGGAATGAAATCATCTCATAGCATTTACACTCAAGTGTCCATTACATGAAACGTGTCTATGGAATGAAATCATCTCATTTTAATATCTCATATCATCATATCTTAGATCCCTAACAAAATGGTTCTCAAGAACCAACTTCTAAATGGAAGGTAAGGCAATGACTGTAAGATCACAAGGAGATTCTGCAAACTCCATCACAAGAATTGCCCTAGACTGCATCTTGGACTAAAGCCCAAGAAGCTGCAAAAAAGCAGAGCAGTATCAAAAAGAATCAAAACGGTGAACCTATTTCCTCCCAAAACCTCTGCATAACTGCATGCCCAACCTTTGTGATTTCCACTTGTGGAATAGATAAGTCCCTCTTGAGGAGGGTCGAACAGAAGCTAACCAGGTCCAAGAAAAAGACTCCCAAGATCCTTGGCAAAGGACAGGAGCAGTGAAGAAATAACTGGTTGATCGATTCCCCATCTTTAAGATGCAAAATGCACACATCAGAAACAAATTCAAATCCTAAAATCCAACATTAGTCTCATTTATAATTTAAATAGCATTCCTGTAATGACTTCATTTTAGACAATGAGCTTGTTTACTTAGAGCAGTGAAAAGAATAAGCCAAGGTTGTGTAATTCAATTTGGTACCTCTAAAAGTAACAATCAATGAAATGTCAAAATCCCAAGAAAGAATTGCATAACCAAATCCTCAAGCTATGTAACAGAAAAAAACAAAGAAACTACCCTAATAGTAGTATTTAAAATAAAACAAATAAAAGTCAAGAAAGAGTAAACCATAGAAAGAACTGTAAGTCTACCTCCTTGTACACATCAACAGGTAGCGGTAACCTAAGAAATGACATCCATGCTTTAGTGAACTTTAACTTCATCTTTTTGGTGATGGAGGATGTAGACAAGACCTGAATAAGATGCAAGTAATATAAATTTGTCAAAGCAATCTAATGATTCTAATATAGTAAAATATTCTAACCAGAGTCAAGGAAAAAGGAGAATGTAGCAAAAAGCAAATCTTTACTCAGATGGTGTTGATAACTGCTATAGTTGGCACTGAAAGTGGAATGGAGAAAAGATTCCAAATAAAATTCCATGTTCAGCATTTGAGCAACTTGAAACCAACTTATTTCTTGAATGATGAAACAAGGGTATTGGGGAATTATGTTACCCCATAAAGTTTTCTCATATACCAATAATACCCCAGGATTTAAGCTGATTTCAAGTTTGGAATTTATTCTTCATTCCGCTTACAGTACTTACTTCAGCAATTACCAAACACAGCCTCACAGTTGACCAAAATAGAATGCATAATGGTTTATCTGAAAATACACAAGTAAAAGAATATTTAGAACAGCACTGCTTATACAATTCTTTTTAAAACTCATTTGAATCAATTAAAACCAAAGAAATATAAGACGCCACTCAAATGTAAGGTTTCTTTTCAACAAAAAAAAAAGTAAGGTTTTTTATTGGCTAGTAAGGTAAATTTTTCATTACAATGGAAAAAGAGTTAATGGTGAAGAGATATCACCCTGTAAAGAAAAAGAAACAAATATTTGCATCAACATATAAGCCAAAGTATAAGATACAAATCCAATGTATTCCAAAATGCAAGGCAACCATTCAAACATCACTGACATTTCTCATATTACAATGAGTAAACTCTGCTCGATCTATGCTGATAAAAAACACTTTAGCATGTTTTCATTAAATTAAAATATTGACATAAATGAGTTAGACTGACTGGACATTCATTTGAAGCTATTGCTTTCAAACAATTTTTTATTGGTAAATGTGTAACTTTATAAATTGTGACAAAAAGAATGGTATACAAAAAGAGGTCGTGTCTTTTGTTAGGCTAATCTTTACTACCTAATCCCACTCCATTACAATTCTGCATTTGTGCTTACAATCATTCCCTATTTATTGATTACCCCCAAACAGTTTTCCCTACTAGCTCCTTGTCTTGCAACTAGCAAGTAAATCAGCAAGAGTAGCTGATCTTGGCACCCACTTGGCTATTTTTGAAAAAAAAAAAGGTTGCTTTCATTGCTTAAAAAAGGAAAGGACATACAAAAAGAGATGTATGAGAACTACATCCAACCATAACGGCAAAAAAAACAAAACAAAAAAGACCCTCCCATCCATTTACATGGGTAAACTCAAATCACTATACAAGGATTCCCTTCCCACCCATGATCCTACCATATATTCATATGTGCTAATGCTACCACAGGAGGCCTCCCACTAGGGGTATCAACGGTATTCGAAAATATGATTTTGAATTCGAGATTCAACATAATTGAATCGAAATTGGATAATTCGAATATGGTAATCGGTTGAATTTGGATATCCTATTCATATCGATTAGCTAATCAGAGTCAATTTCGAATATAACCTGATTTGATTAGATAAATATCCGAATTCGACCGATTGTTTAATTCTTTTATATAATGTTACAATGTTTTATATAATTTATATGTATAATAATGAAATTATATAAATAACGTATATATTTATACTTTATATAAATAAAATATTTATTTTATATTTTTAATTACCTAAAATAATTAACCGGTCAAATTCGAATCGAATATCTGAATATTTAATTGAATTTGAATTCGGATATTAAATTCTAATATCCGTTGAATATCAGATTCAGATAACAAATTTCCTAATCGGATTTGAATTTGGATATTGCCTTATTCTATTCGAATTCGATCTGTTTACACCCCTACCTCCCACACACACATACACATCCAAAAGACACTCTTGGAGTTACTGCATAAAGCCAAATCTTCTTGTAGGAGAAAGAGGGGTTAGCTGAGCCTGGCACCAGCTTGAAGAAAAAGGATTTAACAGTAAACTGACCATTAGAAAAATGCCACCAGATTCTCTTATCAAAAGATAAAAGGCTGAGGAAGACAAAGGAGAGAGAGGACAGAGAAGATGTCACAGGATTCTAAATCAGTTAAGGCTCTACAAAAGTTGAAGTTAAAGGAAAGACCATGCTCCCCTCTTGAAATAACTGAGGAGATTGTGGCCTCATTATTCAAAGAAAGCCTAAAAAGGAGAGCGTAAGAAGTGCACAAAGGTTGTTGTCCTAACCAGAGATTGGTCCAGAATTTAATTCGATTACCATTACTAGGACTAAGTGCAAAAAAGGAGAGAAAAACTTAAAGAAATAATACCTTTCTAAGGGATGAAAGAATAAGTTCTAGATAGAGACAAGTTACAATCTGAACCATTCCTATATCTTTTGTACTTGCTCAAAATGGCACCCAAGAAAGCAATGTTCCTCTCCAAAAGATAACCCAGCCCTAGTCCCCCTTCCGATTTGATTTTATAGATTACCTTCCAATTTACCAAATGATCTCTCCTTTTGCCACCACCATTCCATAGGAAATCTCTCTGCATCTTTTCAATCTGGTTTCTCACCCAAAATGAGATCTTGAATACAGATAAGTAAGACAGCAATTTTGAGAGAGTTGCCTTATGAGAGTGATCCTCCTTTGGAAAGATAATATTTCTCTTCCATGAAACAAGTCTCCTTCCACAGCTCTAATAACAAGGTCCCAAAAGTTGGATGATCTGGGATTTCCTCCCAAGGCTATTCCAATTACTTTATTGGCCAATCTTCAAATTTACAATCAAAAATACTTTGTGGATAAAGGAAGAGGATGGGAACACAAATTTTTTTCATGCGATGGCCAATGGAAGAAGGCGTAAGAACTTTGTGGCTAGGCTGGAAATGAATGGGGAACAGATCTAGAATCAGGATGAAATTGCCAAAATCTTTGTGGATCATTTCAAATCCTTTTATAGAAGACCCCCGGAGGAAAGATTGACTTTAGAAGGATCAGAGTGGCCTTTACTAGATGAGGAGACAGCAAGGTGGTTGGAAAGGGACTTTGAGGAAGAGGAAATAAGAAAGGCAGTGTTTTCCATGAATAGATCTAAAGCACCTGGACTAGATGGTTTCACAATGGCTTTCTATCAGGATTGTTGGGAAGTGTTGAAAGATGATTTATTTGAAGTCTTTAAAGAATTTTCCAACACACATATTGTTAGACTTGGAGTTAATGCAACTTTCTTGGCCTTGATTCCAAAAAAGCTTGATGCTAGCCATCCAAAGGACTTTTGACCCATTAGTTTGGTGACCAATGTATCTACAAGATAAAATGGCAAAAGTCATGTCTTTGAGGATCAAAGTAATTCTCTCCTTCCTCATCAGTCAATTTCAAGGAGCTTTTGTGCAAGGAAGACAAATAATTGACCAAATCCTGATAGCTAATGAATGTGTAGAGGAGATGAAAAGGTCTAAAAAGGAAAGATTTGTATGCAAATTGTGACTTAGAAAAGGCCCATATGACATGGTGGATTGGAAATTTCCCCTAGAAGTAATGCAACATCGAGGGTTTGAAGAAAGATGGTATACCTGGATGTTTGCTTGTATACGGTCTTGTCATTTCTCTGTCCTTGTAATGGAGTGGTGAAAGACTTTTTCCCAGCTTGTAGAGGGTTAAGGCAAGGTGATCCTCCCTCTCCCTTCCTTTTTACTTTAGTGGTGGATGTCTTTAGTAGACTCCTCTCTAAAGCAGATAGGGAAGACGAGTTTAGGGGGTGGAGAGTGGGTAGAGATAATGTTCCGATTACTCATCTCCAATTTGCAGATTGAAAGAAGTGACTAAGAAGTTTGAAAAAGTTTCCAATCTGAAAATAATCTTAAATAAGAGTTGCATGGCAGGGGTTAATATGGAGGAGAATGACCTGAGCATGATAGCAAATTGCTTAGGGTTCCATATAACCCCTTGGCCTTTGAACTATCTAGGACTTCCCCTAGGTGGTAGGTGCAAACCCGAAGGAAAGCAGTTTTTGGAACCCAGTTGTAGAAAGAAGTAAAAAGAGGTCGACTGGTTGAAAGAGAAAGTATATCTCTTTGGGAGGTAGGAATCTACATTGGCTAACCTAATCTATTTCCTCTCTGTTTTTAGGATCCCACCAAGGGAGGAAAAGAAACTAGAAAAAAAAAATCATGAGAAACTTTCTTTGGGAGCCGGGAGAAGTCTAGAAAGATCACTTGGTAAGTTAGGAGGTTGTGTGTAGAAGCAAGGAAGAGGGTGGATTAGGTATTGGGAATGTAAGAAAGAAAAATACAGCACTCTTAGAGAAATGGTTATCCTTTAGAGAGAGAAAATTTGTGGGATGAGATGGTGGCTAGTATACATGGCAGATCGGAGAATGGTTGGGATGCTGGAGTATCATGAAGGGCTACCTTGGCAGCACCTTGGAAGGCGATCCATAGCCTCCTCCCTCAATTCCTCAAGTATATCAGGTACGATGTTTGCTCAGGGAATTTAATTCGTTTTTGGGAAGACATCTGGTTTGGTAACCGGCCTTTAAAGGAGTTGTTCCCCTCTTTGTATTCTATCTCTTTGTACAGAAATGAGGTGATCTTCAATTTTCTTGTTCTTCCTTCTTTGCCTTTGAATCTCAATTGGGATCTTGGGTTTCAGAGGGGGTTGAGGGATGAGGAGGCTAATTGTTTGTCAAAGCTTCTCCTTCTCCTTGATAAAGTTTGCTTAGAGCCTACTAATCCTGATAGAAGACTCTAGTGCCTAAGTCTAAAGGCCTCTTTTCTTGTGCATCCTTTTTCAAAGCTCTTTGCCAATCCCCCTCCTCTTTGTCCTTTCCTTGGAAAGAAATTTGGGTTCAGTCGATTCCCCCTAAAAGTAAGGCTTTTTGTTGGGAAGTGGCTCTTGGGAAAATTAACACTCTGGATTCATTGCAAAAGAAAAGACCTTCTCTATGTATTTCCCCAAATTGGTACTCTCTACGTAAATCTGACGGTGAATCTTGCTTTCATCTACTAATTTCTTGCCCATTTGCTAAAAAATCTAGGATTGGTTTTTTCTCATTGTTTGGGTGTAGGTGGAATATGCCAACAAAGATTAAAATGTTGTTTGATCCATCAACCTTTGGATTGCCGAAGAGAAGGGGAAGAATAATGTGGAGATGCACTAGAGCAACAGTGATATGGACATTATGGGAAGAAAGAAATGCAAGAATATTCAAAGAAAAGGAAAGAAGTAAACAACAAATTATGAAGTATGTTATGACCAGGGTTATAATTGGTTGCAAACATTGGACCTCTTCAAATATTTCTCTTTTGGAGATATCTAGAAGAATTGGAGCTTCATAGCCTTTAGTGCAATGGGTGGGAAGGGAGGCCAATGAACTGGCTGATTCTCTAGCTAAGCAAGGGGTAACTAGGGATTAGATGTATTGGGCCCATTTTTAAATCAGCTATATGTTTTTGTTAAAAAGTGAGGCTGCACCTTGTGCCTCACACTGGGATGCTTGTAACAGATGTAATCCTTTGATTCTAATGAAATTTAATGATTGTTATTTATTAAAAAAAAATGGAGTTTTTATATGCCATTTGATTTCTTTAAAGATAAATCTAGTTCAACATAATCTTACTTATCCCAACAAAAAATCAAAATAAGTGTAGTCCATTTACATTTTTTCACACTGTAAAGGCTGAGGCAGGATTATGACTAAGAAAATCCCAATCAGACAGGGATATGGTAGGGACATCTTGGAAAGAAAAGAAACAAGCAAGGCACAATTCAATGAAGAGTTCCACAACTCCAAATATAAATCTAATGCAAGACATACATGACAAGAATAAAATGTCTCCATCTTTCCATTATATCTAGCAAGTTGAATAATATTCACTGAAATAAAATGAAGAAAGTTAATATGCTTTTCTTAGTTCAAGTTAAACACTTAAACTTACACCATTATTAGTCTTCTTTGATTTCGGTTGCCTATCCTCTTCTTTTGATGAGAACCCTAAATAACATAAAGGGAAGAAAATTAAAAACCCATTCCATCAGAAAACTGATGAGTACATTACAGTTTTGTTGAAAATGACACAACAAACAAAATAGCCATGCATTCAAATGATAATTCCCAAAGTGAGAAGTCAATATTTGGTTTAGAAGCAACAAAAGAATCAATGGAGAATTTTTGGGTTATAGGAGATCGGTATTGTTTCAGCTTTTTCATTTATTTTCTAGTTGGGGGTATCTCAAGAATGGGGTTCTGGTTTTTATTTTTATTACTGTTTTGAAATTACTATGTATGGAATTATTTTTTAGTAAACACAAAGATTACTATTTTTAGTAATTTCTGGTGCCTTTGAATTAAGTTAGTTTTAGTGGGATTAGGTAAGTGTTGTTAGAGTTGTTTTAGTATTGATTTGTCATAGTTTTAAAGCAAATAGAAGTGCTTTGGGTCAGTGTCCTACTCCAAATTGGAGTTTGTAAAGGGGCATCCGATATTCCGAGTTAAAGAGTCATTGTAATTGGAGTTGAGGGAGCGTTATTTTGATGAAATAAAGATTATTTAGTGAATTCTGGTCATTTCCAAAAAATTCTCTCTCTACTATTTCTTCTTCTAAGCGAATTGTCTCTTTATGTTTGGCCTAACAGCACTAATTTTCTTTCTCATTCTTTGGTGACAACAAGCATTCTACTTGCTTTTATTTTTTTTTATCAATAACAGATTCATTCAATTCATTGAAATATCAAACTATTTACAGCAAGGAAGTCAAAAACTCTTATCTTCCAAGTACAACTTAAACCCTCCAAAGAGAGAAACAACAAAAGAAACAATTAAGTTACAGCTTAGCCCAAAACATTGCTTCCCTTTCTATCCCTTGTTTAGCTAATCCATCAGCCAACTAGTTAGCTGATCTCTTAACCCAACGCATCCTGATTTCCATCTCCCGCACCAGACACCTGAATTTCCTCTTTTCATTTCTGTAATTCCATAAACCGCAGTTGTCTTTAATCAGCCACCCTATCACCACCTCCGAGCCCCCTTCAATTATGAGTTTCCTGACATTCAACTCCTTGGCTTTCTGAACTCCTTCCATAACTGCCAAGATCTCAGCTCTAAAGGAATCCCCCACACCAATTGGGCCTGAGAACAGGGCAGAAATGACCCCGTTCTCATCCCTAAAAACACCTCCAATCCCTGATTGTCCCGAGTTCCCCCTACAACTCCCATCAAAATTTAACTTT